CGAATTTTTATTTTTATTTTAACATGTGAAGAGCACCATACCACATTGTAGTTGGTTTGTTATATGTCATAATTTTAGATGTCATATACCGGTGGTATTGGTACTTCGACTGATAATAGTCAAGGAGATGCAAAATGGCCTCCCAAAAATGAAGCCGCATTTGTGGGTGTTTTGTTGGAAGAAGTCCAGTTAGGAAACCGTGTAGCCGGTAAGTTCACACCTAATCAATGGGGGACCATTCTTGGGAAGTTGACAGAGAGGTGACCTATTTACTATCCTTACAAAGTTGCTCAGCTACAGAGTAATTATCAACGTATGAAAGTGTACTGGAGACGGCTTCACAACATAGTCACCAACGCCACCGGATTGGGATGGAATGAAGATAAAGAAACTATTGACGGACCCGCTGAATTTTGGACGCAATGGAAAACCGTAAGTATTTTTTTATCCTCGTGTTAAAATTTAAATTGTTTCCTATTGCTGTTTTGAGGACTCTTTCAAATGTGCTTCAGTTTATTGCGGCCTGTACTTGTATGTTGTTGGAAGGATCGGTTCATGTTGGCATTTTGTTTAAATTAGATATGCTATATTATATTTACTGGCCATGATTTCTGTTTAAAAGGAAATTAAAATAGTTTGTTATGGGTTCATGTTATGCTCCTCGTGTTAAAATTTACTTTTTATATGTCACGTGCATAGGCAAATCGAAAAGACCATGACATGGAGGGTAAGGTGTGTATGCATTATGAAGAACTGACTACTATTTTTCACGGCACTACTGCTATGGGGTCAAATGCGAGGGCATCAACTCAACGGGTGGCCGAGGGACGTGTGAACAATCGTGAGGCATCCGCATATGTGAGGCAGGATTTTGTCGCGGAGGAAGAAGACGAACCGATGGTCACCCCAACATCTCATGCACGGCAGGGTAGGCAGAGGCGGTACGTTTGCTCGAGGAGGGGCACAGAGTCTAGTTTCGACACGGCAATGTATTCGTGGTCAGACTTGAATGTGTCCCTTAGAGAAAGAACCAACCGACCCCCAAAGCTAACGACAATGGAACAAGCTATGCGCGATCTTCAAGCAATGCCGGATATAGACGAAGATCTTTTCCAGTTTCTTTGCAAGAAGTTGCGGGATCCCACCAATCGAGCAATGTTTGCGGCGATTAATAGTGACGAGAGACGTCGTACTATTATCAAAATGTGGGTGGATGAGGGCCCCGGTGATGCATGAAGGGGGGTGGCGAACTTTTTTATTGCTCTTTATTTGTTGTTGGCCTTTTCTATCTTCATATAGTCTACTAGCGTAGTATGTTTAACTTTGTTTCCAAGCTACATTAGCTACTGCATGCTTATGTTATGATTTGTTTGTACACATTTGTATGCGTGTATTTATTATACATTTAATTGTAGATGTCGTATGTTGACGATAGTGACACATATGAGGAAGATGTCGATCATTTGCCTGAAGACATTGATAGTGATTTGGAGCCGGTGGAAGAGTATGATCCCATGGAAACATCCTTAATGGTGGGCGCTCAATTTCACCAACTTGTAAACATTTTTGAAAGTTCATCGGCCGTATTTCCCCCTTTAAGGAGAACCCCCTACCGAGAATCCACCTACACGGGCTTGGACTGGGTAAATGAACTATTAGCTGGAAATCCTCGCCGCTTTAAAGATGCAATGGGCATAAATCAATGTCATTTTAGCATCCTTTGTGATGAAATCAAGAGAGCGGGATTCCACGAAGAAACATGACAACAAAAAATAGGCATTGAAGAAAGCGTAGCCATTTTTCTGCATACAATAAAAGGTCATCAAAGGCAACGACGTGCGGCTGAGTCATTCAGACACTGGGGGGAGACGATTAGTCGTCATTGTCACAAAGTCATCAATGCTCTATGTTATCTAGCCCCTGACTACATTCGTCCCCCAGACTTCAACCGTGTTGCACCGTGGATAAGAAATAATCGTAACTTATATCCCTACTTCAAGGTAAATATATTCCACTTCATGTGTCCAATACCGTAGATTTTATAAGTAACTTTTTACTGTAAAATTCAAATTATAATTTCTAATGTCAGGATTGCATTGGCGCCATTGACGGGACTATTATACCAGCGTGGGTGCCCGAAGGACAACAAGGTTCTTACAGATGTAGGAAAGGTTATTTGGCGCAAAATGTTATGTTGGCATGTGATTTTGACTTGAAGTTCACTTTCGTCCTAGCCGGCTGGGAAGGCAGCGCAAATGACGCACGTATTTTTAATCACACTATGTCCGACCCCCGATTTGCTTTTCCCTTTCCACCACCAGGTAATTCCATCATCACACTATTCATATGCTATTATTAACTTAGTTAAATTATATTGAAATTTATCAATTTCTTCTTGTGCTCTGGTGGACATTTCAAATGTAGGTAAATTCTATGTGGTGGACTCCGGATACGCAAATATCCCAGGTTTCATGACACCATATCGTGGTGAACGATATCATCTTCCAGAGTGGTTGGGGTCTAACCAGTTGCCCGGTAATGCTCGTGAGTTGTTTAACAGACGACATGCCACTGTCCGTAATGTCATAGAACGCAGCTTTGGTTTGCTAAAAGGGAAGTTTCCCATCATAAAAGGGCTGATGCCAAACTACACAGTCCACTCCCAAATCGACATAGTAATAGCATGTTGTGTTCTACACAACTTTATTCGGATTCATGAACCACTAGAAAACATGCCGCATGAATTCAGAAACCCAGAATACGTACGCCGACATGATCCTCAAGATCGTACCTTTGCTTTTACGTCCAATAATAATAACTCGAACCCCAACGTTGGTGACCATTGTGTCTTGCGTGACACGATAGCGCAAGCCTTGTGGGCGAACCGAAGATAAAATGAACATCGTTTGTATTAATGTAACTCGAGCACACCTTTCATTCTATTAAGGACACCGAATTTGATATTTCGGCCTACATTACTATCTTTTTTCTTTGATGAATTATGAGTGTTGTTCTTAATCCACATAAATTTAAAGCCTTTTTTCGCAAATAATACTTTAAGTTGTAAGAAAACCAAACACAATAGTACAATATTCACATAAACATTCTTATATATTAACCAATTAAGAATAATAGAGTACTTGTAAAATTTTTATAAATAGAAATATTTGTAAAATTCATTATGTAAAAAAAAAAAAAAAAAAGGCACAAGATGGGTCGCTTGTGTAATTACAAGTCTTTTACAAAATTAATTTTATAAATATTTCTGTTTGTAAAATTAATGTGGACTGTTACCACTTTATTTGCACACGAAAATAGAGGCTGTTGTAATTAAAACGAATTTGAAATGGGGTGGTGGTGTATGTTTTTCATTATGTTTTCAGCATTACGAAAGTCTCTACCCTCTACCATATATCCATTGGAAAATATTTTTATATTGGTCTTTAAGATTTAAAATCAAAAAACAATATTTCATGTTATGAACTTAAATATAATATTTCTGACTACGTCATATCAANAATCATTCTTTTCATGCATTGAAATAATGTTACATGCACAGGAACGGTGAAAAGAAATAATTCATGCAATGAGACCATTTATCTTTAAAAACCTGCCAACCTGAACGTGGCCTTTGTTTACATATATTAAAATTGGTCCAATTACGAAATCCAACACATAAAATTAGTCCAAACATGAAAGATAACGAAAACCGGTCTTTGTACGCCAAACACTCTCGCACGATTATATTGTCAACCATCCAGTACCCGTATCTTGAAAACAACACACTCATATCCAATTAAGGTGAATACGCATGTGATGCCCTTCACGATTCCACTTTGGTCCATAAATTCACGCGCATCACCGTGTTCCATCAACGCCTTCCCATGCGATTGGATTATTGGAACATTGTATCGACCTCCTTTACACAATAAGATTGCTCTCGTTGTATCATTAACTTGGTTAGCGATATGCTCCCTCCAAAAACTCATCGGAATGGCCTACAATAGTGAATACAATTAATAAAATATTTCTTTCCATTTCCTGGTTTCGAATTTAAAGTGAAACGTGATACGTACCAAACGTGCCCGTTGCACGTGCGTTTTCTTCATATCCACTAAGAAGCGAAATTGGAGAGGTCGTTCAACCGAATTACAAGTGAAAACTTTCACAACAAATTCATACAGGCTGTTGCGCTCGAAATACAAAATGTAGCCCGCGCGAATATCTTCGGCTCGTACGAATTCGTCCCAACGATCACGAAATTCCAATCGATTTCTCACTTTAACCAACCAAACTTCATAAGTACGGTTCTCCCTAGTTTCTATTGTACAATTTATCGTGACATGGTTTGTATATTGATAGTAGATTGACTCGGGCAGCGGCTGTATGCAAACTATACGCATTTTGTTGGACGGGGCGATATTGATTACAACAACTATAAATAAAACTTAGGAAAGAGGTTTGTATTCATACCAAGTTCGGACAGTTTGCATCCGTAATTGTAACAACGAACGGGTCAAACCTATTTGCCATCGAATGGTGTCTAAAATAAAAATGAGTGTAACAATAACAACCAATCATTATTGATAAGACAATTGAAGATAATTATGAATACGGTAGTAACAATCTACCTTATTAACACAATATGAACTGCAATTGAAAAAAAAAAATATATAAATCGGATGAATTCTATATATCTTTTTTCATTCTCCTTCGAAAAAAAATATTAGGAGATGATTGTTGCCTTTTTTCATTCTCCTTCGAAATTTAAAATGGACGGGCATTTTTTGAAAAAAAAAATGTAGAACATGATGTATGTAATGTTAAAATTACCTCGGGTAACTGCCGGTGTTTGAAAAATTAGCACAAAACATATAAATTTATATAACAATTAACATAGACTCAAACCCATTTTATACATCTTCACAATCCAACATCACCGACACTTCATCCACGAATTTTTAACCATAATATCTGTTAATACAAGCAACAAGAAAAGGATGACAACCTACCTCAATGATGAGCCAAATCCGCGGTTCCGGCCGGTGCGGGAATACGGGATACGATGGCTATTCTCCCATGAAAGAAGCTATTTGCTGTGTGAGTTGAAAAGAATGACGGAAGTAAAGGGGACTTGGAGCCGGTACAACCACCCCTGTTAATTGTGAAATAAATGTGGTCTGTTACCACCATTTGCATACCACATTCTACACAGTTCAAAATGAATTAAAAAAAAAATGTGTGAACCGACTTCCAATAAAATGTATAACAAACTATTATTATGTGATGGTTGTTGTGGACTTCTGGTACGCATGCATGAGACTCATGACTGCTCTGTTATTTTGTTATAATTCATGTTTACATTGGTTAGGTTCATTATTACATGTGTGTGGTACAACAAAAAAGAACACAACCTGCTGAGTAGTATGGTTGTAATTCATATTAGTATAAAGGAACTTCTCTTCGAGATTCAAAATTACCATTACTAGGCTATGGTTGTAATTCATATTAGGTTGTGTTGTGAACATATAGTTGTACACTAGGTTGACTATGTATCATTTTTGTTCTTAAATTAACCTTACACTGTTGCGAAAATCTGATTCTTCACGATGGGTCTAATCAAAACAGCCGTAGCAATGGCCTTGAATGTGGTAATGTTATTTTTTCCTTGTTTTATTGTGGCGTGAAGTTGATGCATCATGTATGAGACTGCCTTTCTTGCTTTCTTTTTTCTTTCAGTACAACTTTGTTGCTTTTTTTATTATAGTCAGAGGGCACTTGGATATAGGTGTGGCAGGGGTCTTCTTATCTCATTCATTTGTTGGGGCCATAAATTTAATTCAAAATTCGAGGTGCCAGGTTGGTCAAAAAGGTGTAGAAGAGGGAGAAAGTGGAAAGGTGGTGTTTTGGGCGGGAGGTAATAGGAGATTAGATGTAAAAACCGGGAATGTGATGTGTGGGTTTTTTTTTTTTNCATTAAAAAAAATTCATCATGGTTTCTCAAACACCTTTGTGTTCCTGCGGAAATGGTCGGATGTACCGTTTGATGGCTAAAACAGAAAAAAATTATGGTAGGTATTTTTATCGATGTCCGGCAGGATTTAAACACGAGGGGAGTTTTCTTTGGGATGACGAGAGTAATTGCTATTTTTCTTCAAGGGGAAGTGCTCAAACATATTGTAATACGCAATCCAATGCAGAAGGTAGCAGTCATACGACTCGAGGGTCCAACTACTCAACCACGTCACATGCGCCAACGAACAATGACCCACAGTCAGTGTTTGAAATTGTGACCCAAGATATCGTTTGAGGTTTTTTTGTGGTCGTTGGGTTATTACTTTTTGTAGCACTTTTGAAATTCATCATGATGTATTGAAAATATTTTATAACAAGTAACTTTTATTTGTCGCGTATGCTATTTTTCCAATGTAGCAATTTTATATGGAGTTTACCAGTGTGTTTAATGCAAATTATATATGAAAACATTTTATTAGACTTCTTATACGTTCAACCAACGGATTAATGATACTTCATTTTTGCAATTATTGAGACATACAGAAGTATATATTTCTATATTGTGTAAAAAAAATGTATGTATAACTCATTTAATTCTGTATATTAACATATATATACACATTTATAAATGCTTGTTATTTACAAGTATATAAAATCATATGTCATGATTGCTATCTAGTAAAATTTTTTTGCTATATAAAATCAGATTTCATGATTTGGTATATAATCATGTTACTACGTAAATTAATTGCATGCAACGTAAAATTAGAATAAAGAGAAATATACATATAAATAAAAATTGCTGAGATTTGTTTCTGTAATGTATCCACATCATATAATCTTGATATGAATTAAACCAATGAATTTGAAGAGAATATAATAATTATCTACATATTATAAACATATTATGAGTTATAAAAAAGTTTATTGTTAATGCGTATAAAGAATATTGAAGTGGAAAGAAAAAAAAGAACCTGTATGACTACATAGCATGGGCCAAGGTTTTAAAAATGAAAAATGGAAATGAGTTGTAATTGTAAAAAACAACCTGTACGACAAGTAGGCATGGGCAAAGTTTGTATTACCTTTATATCCAATTCACTTCTCAACCACACACTTTGCCTATATATATACCTATATGGGCTTCGCTATAAATGTATGTGTTTAATTATCATCACTGCAAAACATCCTCCGCCTTGATTTTATGTTCAATCATGTGGGGTTTATCATTGCCAAAAACGAAGGAAGAACATTTTCGCTATATACGAGAAGGATTTTCGAACAAATGACTTCCAGCAGCTGAGGAGTCTTTTTGTTCAATCCTTCTAAATTACATCCAGTCAGAAGGGTTAAACTGCGGGTTTGACATATATATGGCGTTTGATAGAATACACAGAAGTTGTTTGGGTGAAATTGGACATAATTTGACTTTGGCCGAATGCTATACCACATTCATGGTATTGAAAGAAAGGTATCGAACATTTAAATATTTTATAGATTACCCATTGGGTGTTTTCAACATACACGCAAAGACCGTCTATCTTGACGAGGACGATCGTGAGGAAGCATTTGAGGTAAGAAATTACAACCACAATTCCTTTTTGTTTTTTTTATTATTTTTTAATATTTTTTTTTCATGTTTTGGGAATTTGTTATATAAATATGTTCTATTACGAACATTGTCTTATCTCCATTTGTTATGTAATAATATTATAATTTTGAGTACATCATATTCTCTCAGTTTTGGCCATTAGCAAACCATTATTGTAGCAACAATCCTGAACCTTTATGGGAAACCTTGAAGATAATTTTCGAACCACTAGGCCTTGACCCATATCCTGGTGAAATGCGGGCGAGAGATGAACGTAACCTTCGCAAACTTGACCAAGTTGTTCGTGACTACTGGGCCGAAGAAAGACGTATGGCAGCACAACGAAGAAGGAGAGGAAATTGAGATTGTTGTCGCGTATGCACTTTTTAGATAAATGATTTTTCTTTCATTTCAGAACATTTTTTTGTAATCTACATTGCTATTTGATATTTCAAATAAATAAAGTATTTGTGAAATGATAATTATTATTATTGCTTTTGTCAATAAAATATTATGAGTAATGCTATTTAGCCTACTTGGATGACAACTTGGGTTACAACCCAAGTGTAAATGCATTATCTAAAAATTAAAAATTAATGCTATCATTAGTACGAATGTTCACATAAGATAAACATGCTATCATTATTCCGTTTATCTTTGTCGGGGACGCCGTAAATTTAAAAAATGGTTATTACAAATAAAAAAAATAAATAAAAATTAACATGGAAGTGTTTATTATGAATAAATATAGCCACGAATGTTCAAAGAAGATAACCATGATGTATTTTTTGCTCAACCAATTTGTTGCTAGGCCTACAAAATTACAAAATTTATTACTTAAAAAAGAAAAAAAAATAAAAAACAAAAAATTAAAACCAAATAATCCGCAAACTTGGCACCCAAAATTGGCCCAACTGCACGTGATGGAATTGCACGCCTCAGTTCTAGGTTTGTGCCTNTTTATGTCATCAGCAAATGCAATCTCTTTGGCCGACCAACAACTGTACATGCTGCCACAAAGTATGAAAAGGAGGGGTAGGCACGTGGACCGAGTAGAAGCTCCTCTAGTAAAAAACTAGTTTCTATCCTCCACTTTGCTAGTTAAAAACTAGTAAAATTACATTCTAGTTGGTAAACAATCATGCCCTTACTTTCCATGTTTCTACATTATATTTGGAAAACAGATCAAAGAGATCGCGCAGGAAGAAAAGAACTTGGAGAAGAAGTTCACGCCTAAGGATGCTATATAAACCCTACTTGAAGATCAACTGAAGGCTGCTGAAATTTCTGATATTCATAGCATTCGAGCTTCAATTAAGAATTCAAGCTTTTTACAATTTGTATTTTTAGTTCGCAGTTCAGTGATTTAGATGTTCTTACAGCGTTTGAATAATGAAACTGATTTTTCAGTTTGTTTTGTTTCATTTTATTCGAACATTTTTGTGATCAGAACTAAGTTTTTCTCGAGGGATCGAGAGTGTTTTAAGTCCACGGGAGGTGTCCAAAGAGGTAGTTTGTAACACCCCGCTTATCAGAGTAACTTTTTCGCAACTTTTACTTCGAAATACTTTAACTCTTTCGAAATACTTATGAAGAACTCGGAATGCTACTTAACTTGTCTTTATAAAAATCTGTTTATCTTTAAACTTTTGTCTAACAGATTTATCTTTAAACTTGCATTTAAAATACTATAATTTTATTTCTCAATTACCATATTTATACTTCTCAATTTACCATAATCATATTTCTCAAAATACCATAATTATATTTCTCAACATGGTAAAACTTATAAAATGCAAGTTCAATCATTAATGTGCATAGCGGAATACTTAAAAAAAA